AGGAGGAGGAGGAGGAGGAGGAGGAGGAGGAGAAGGAGGAGGATAGCAGCCAGGTAGTTGCTTTACATGAAACCTTTAACCTGCCGAAAACCTGAAAGGCAGCAAGTGGCCCTGGTGAGTGCCAGGTGTCGTGCCAGGTCTGTGGTCTCCAGGGCCTCATTTACCTCTGCCACAGGTCCTGCATGGCCTGGGAGTTGGGACACCCATTATTTTCAGAAGAGAAAGAGAAGCCCAAAAGTGACCAGGGGCAAGTTGCTAGAAGACTTCAGAGTGTCCTCAAAGAAGTCACCAAAAATGAGTTGAGGTGAGGGCTGGGACCATGGAGGGACAGGTCTGGGAGCTATTTCTACATCATCAGACCTGGAGAGACATCCTGGAGGCGGAATAATAATCGGGCGTCCGACTCCCCTGGAGAAGACGGGGACCACCTTTTACACTCTCTTTGGCTCTGGAACCAAAACAGCTGCTTTTTATCATTCCTCAGAAGTCCATAAAAGGGATGGAAAAAGCTGGTGCTTATGGGAGAATGGGGGGGCACTTAAACTTAATGGTGCCCCCCACCCTGCCCAGAATGGGACCTGGAGACGACATTGGCTGGGCCTTGGCCTAACCCCAGCCCAGCCCTGGGGAGAAACGAGTTGCCCCCAGGCCCACCCTGACACTCCACTCTGTCCCCTGTCCACCCACACCTACTGTGTATGTGTGTGTGTGTGTGTGTGTGTGTGTGTGTGTGTGTGTGCCTGGGAGCTCTCAGCAGGCTGGCAGGTGCCCCCTTGGCCAACCCAGGCCCCCTTCATCCCTGACAGTGGCCTGGCAGGCCCTGAGCGTCCTTCTTGGCTGGAACAACCAGGCTGAGTTTCAAGGTCAGGCTTTGGCCTCAAGGGCTGACTTTGTGAATCAGAGGCCACCCTGGTCGGGAGTGTCCAGACAATCCAGGCCGCGCTCCTGGCCGGTACTGCCTCGTCGACGACCAAGATCCGGGGCCTGAGAAGGGGCCTTCCCAACAAGCTCCAGGTGAGGCCAGTGAGGTGTTGTGCAGGTCCAAGCTCGAGTCACAAAGTCCCCTGAGTTCACGTGCCAGGCATCCATAGGTAAATGGAAGGGGCAGGAGTTCCAAGAGGTCCAACCCTGAGAGGGCGTCAGGGGGTGGCAGAGAGCCACGCCCACCCACAGCTCCCTCCTCTGTTCTGAAATCCTCCGACAAACGTTCCAGATGCTAGAGAAGCAGAGGACCAAGGAGGCGGCCGGGCAGCCCACGTCAGCGCCTGCTGCTGGTGCCCACACCCTACAGGAACCTACAGACCCAGGGGTGGCCACACATTTGGTTTCTCAAGAGACGCTGAATCACAGCATTTTACACAGCTCCAAGTTTTTAAAATTTGACGATGATTCCGAAACGAATTGTAAATTCTCTGCTGGTGAAATACAACCTATTAGCAAGTTGGAGAGCCCTAGGGTACCCCTGCAAGCCCCATCTTTGCCCATCCTGGAAGTGCCAGAAGGGCTATCCCCCCCACCTCTGCCTCCTGCCAGGCTGTGCTCCAGGCTGCCTCAAACGCAGCCCGTGACAGGAGCCTGGCCCTCCTGCCCCTGAGTGCTGGGACTGGGATAGGTCAGGGTCTACTGCCAGCCCTGTCCAGAAGAGGCACAAGTCAGGCTGTCTGGGAGGCTGAATGGGGAGTGCAGGCTTTAAGATCTGGCAAACCTGGGTGCCCAAACCAGCTGTGCAGCCTCTTAGCTCCAACTTTTCCCAGCACATAGCTAATAATGACACTGACCCCTCAGAACTGCTGTGTGCATGGAGTGAGATGCAGAGAAAATTCCTGATGCCAGACAGCGGCCCAGGCAGGAAGGGCTCCCCTCCTGCTCACCACTCCTCCTGAGTATCCTCCTGGGCACCCTGTGCACAGCTGGAGCATTTGAAGTGCTGCAGACACTGCAGGTTCCATTCAGAACCAGGACCCCTTTGCCTGGCCTGGTCCCCTCCACCTCTCCCCGCCTGGGTCCCGCTTCATTTCCACACAATCTTACACAGTGGAGGATGGAAGGCAGATCACCACTCAGGTTCAAGTTCTGCTGGATGGGAAGTGGCTGCCCGGAGCACCTGAACTCAGAGGTTCCTGGGAATGTCCACAGTCAGCAGTTGGCAGTGCTGGGATGGATTAGTGATGTCTGTCCCAGGCCCAGCAGGGAGGGGAGAGTAGACAGATGAGGAGAGCAGAGGCCTCTTGGAGCAGCTCTTCATAAGCCAGCGTCTTACCCAGACTCCTGAGCATGACCATTTGAGAGGTGAGAAGATCAGAGGCACAGAGAGAAAACGACTCGCCTACAGTCTCCAGCCAGCACCAAAGGGAGAACCGGGGTCCAGTTTTGCCTGGGTCCCTTCCCTGTGCTCTGACTACTGGCCTCATCCTCCCACCCTGAGAATAGCCAGGGCTGGGGACACGGGGGTAGCCCTTCCCATGCGTGGACATTTCCCAGAGCATTTGTGGACCCCATGTCTCCAATCTCAGTGAGACCTCAGGCCTTGCCAGTTCCAGCGCAGCTGTGTGACCCGGGGACGTTCCTCCTCACCTCCAGACCTCCGTGTCCCCACTTACCATGTGCTGCCTGCCAGTGAACCCACGGCCAGCTGGAAAGGGACATGAAGGGCTGGCCTCCGGAGGCCTGATCCCTGCTGGTTCTTGTAGAAAGGCCTCTGACCCCTCTCCAGAATCCCTGCGGGCTGTGGCTCATTTACAGGCCTGTAAACAGCCCCATGCAGAGGATCCTGGTGGCCTGCCAAGGGGAGGGGAGCTGGACCTCAGACCAGCCCTTCCCTACTGCCAGGACCACCACCACCACCACCAGGGGATCCGGCCAACCCCCTCACCAGCAGGAAAACGTTCCTGCCCCTGAGGCTACAGGAGTGCGGCCTGCAGGGTCCAGGCTGCTCTGCCCAGGGTTCAGGGTCAGGGCCTTCCCCCACCTGCCTGGTGACTCAACCCACAGTCCTGACCCGTAAGCCTCCCTGGTGGCACCTGCCCATGCTGCGTCACCTGGCTGGAGAAAGCCAGATGAGATAACGTCTGGACAGGGATCCGGCCGTGGTGAAAGAAAAAGCTCTCTGCACACATGGCTGAGCCTTCTTCCCTTATTTATTTATTTTTAAGTGCAGCTCTCGGGCCAACTCGGCAAACCTAGGTCTTGAGGGGAGGAAGCTCCTGTCTCTCGCAGCCCAGCTTCTCACGGAAAAGCCCCCAGTTTCCAGTTCTGGGGTTTCCCAGCAAAGAGCAACACTCCAGTTGGAAGCTCCTGTGGTCAGAGAATGTCTTTGGACCAGGGAAAGGCAGTAAGCCACCCACGTGCACGACTCCATGGGGGGTCCTAGGAACATGATGGAGACAGCAAAGGGAAACAAATATGTAACATTAATTTAGCACCTACTGTGTCCAGGTAGCTGCTAGAGATTTCATCTCGGTTAGCTTCTTTATCCTTAACACAATCAAACAGCAGCTCCCAATCCAGTCTGCACAGAGAACTTGTAAACATCGTCAGGGGATCTGGTTTCATTGTTCTGGGTGGGCCGCTGGCATAGTACTCCGTAAATGTCCCCAGGGCATTCAAATGAGCAGCCAGGGATGAGAAGTGGGGACTTAAGCAATGCTTCTCAAACTTCCATGTGCCTGGGAGTCAATCTCTTGGATCTTATTAAAATATACATTCCAATTCAGCAGGGCTGTGCTTCTGCTTTTCTAACCAATTCTCAGGCAATGCCCAATCTGCCTGCCCTTGAACCAGACTTTGAAGAGCAAGGGCGTAGCCCATAAACTCCAAGGCAGCGAAGGCTGTTTGGTTCATTGCTGGATGCTTCTACCTCCAACAGTGCGTGAGCCAAGTAGCCTCAGAATAAATATTTGCCAAAGGTGTAAAGAAGTGAACGAGGCTTAGAGGCAGGTGTGGCTGGCTATGGTTTGAGCTGGGGGCATGTATGCAAGAAGTTACTTAGTACCTCCTTCACTCTGATTCTCACCTGAAAGATGAGAGCGATGATATTTTTAATTCCAAAGGAGGATTAAATGAGATAATGTGCAGACTGGTTGTAGGGGTATTAAAAGGATTGTTTAATTTTTTAGGTATGATAGTAGATCATTTTTTTGACCAGAAGTAAGACATAGTGAAGTATTTACAGGTGAAATGACACAGTGTCTGGGGTAGGCTTTAGATATTCCAGCTGAGAGGGAGAGAGGGAAGAAGACAGAGAAGGAGGAAGACGAAGACGAAAGAAAGAAGGGAGGATGGTGAAAACACAGCAATGTCCATCAACACCTAAAATTGGGGACGGACACAGGAGGTCCATCCCTATTCTATTTTTACCTACATTTGAACATTTCCACAATAAAAGGTTAACAATAATAAATCGCAGTGGTGATGAAGCGCCCACCTGGCCCGGCTCCCGGGTGGTCGGCAGTGCCCGCTAAGCTGTAACTCGGGTTCTTTGGAGCAGGATCTGACCATGAGCTGTGGCTGGCAGGACAGACACCCACAGTGGAGTCCTCCAACCCTCAGCGACACACCTGCCCTGTGTTCCTCCTATCAGAGGCTCGAGGACGAGATTTGAAGTGAGTTTTTCAACAGTGCTCAGCCCACGCCACCACGGGGCTGGAAAAGCAGCGTTAGTTTGCTTTATAAGATAATTAGCAATAAGGGCAAGAGCAGAAGGAAGAGCCATGACTGAGTATGCATTTCCTGGGTCAGGCCTTCTGCATCCACAATAGCACTGAATTTCCAAGATATCACGAGCTGGATCCTTGTTCCCACTTTTCAGATGAGCAAATGAAGACCCCGAGCTGAAGCACCTTGGCAGAGGTGTCCCCAGAACGCACAGGCAGCCCCTCTGAGCGCCCCTCCCACACCCTCATTGCTTGACCATGGCCTGCAGTCTCATCCCGTCTCAGATCCTGCCCCACTCGCTGCAGCGTATCTAGCGCCTGCACACCCAGCGCAGACGGTCAGCAGCTCCACTTGTCTGCCAGCTGGCCCTGGCATGGGTGCCCAGGCCCAGTGAGGGAGGAGAAGTCCTCCCCAGCCCCATCTGAACCCAGCAGGGGGGGATTTCCACCCAGGACTGGGCTTTTACAAATACAAGGCCCCGCTCCCCCAGGCAGCACACCACGTCCCGTTGCAAACTCCACCATGAATGGCAGCTATTCTCCTGCTCGCCACCGCTGTGCAGCCTGGGACGGGAGACTTCAGCCTTCTCCAGGCCTGTAAACACCGAAGCCACACACGCTGCAGGGCCACCGCAGCCAATAAATCTTGGCCCCGGGGTTCTCTTAAAGAGGCAGAGCCCGGGACGGACACCAGGCCAGGCCCTGCCTGCAGCCGTGGGCTTAGCCAGCACGGCACCTCCCTCCCCTCATCCCAGCCCCACGCGGAGGAAAGGGAAGGCTAAGGTGGCCGGCCTCCCGAGAAGCTTTCTTCTCCTGCTTTGTAAAATGGAACATTCCCTCCTTCTGCCACTCACCCTGGGGCTACAATAATAAGAAGAGCTGCTGGTGGGAATGAGCTCCGGATTCATTTTCTGGAAGCTGGACAGCTGGGCTTGTGGCAGGCAGGGAAGCAGTGGTCTCTGGGGCTCTCCACCCAGCAAGCCTCAGAGAACCCAAGGTGGACCCTGAGGGTCAGGTGAAGAGACCAGCCTGGTGCAGAGGTGTCCATCCCGAACAAGCACGGAGGCGGCTAGGAGGGTGCTGGCCACAGGGTCAGAGGCGAGCATTGGATGTGGCCTTGGGGTGGCGTTCAGGCGGGCTCATGGCTCACCCCGAGGGCCCATGGCAGAGCCAGGGCTGGGCCCTCGCTCTCCACCACAGGCTCATGTGTGCGCTCATCGTCGATGGGTGTTTCTCTGGATGAGGAGTCTGGTATCTAACCACAGCCGCCTTGCAACCAACCGCGGGCTCAGTTACCTCTGGAATCAGGTTTCCATGTGTTCACAAACCCATCTGGCACCAGCCTGTAAGGCTGGGGATCTCTCGGGACACGGGGCTCTGCCTAGCCCCCCTGAAGTGTGCCCCTGATGAGCAACCTATGCCCCACTCAGGCGCACCTGGGACTGTGTTGGTCCCCTGCTGGGACCTGGCTCTGCCCTAAGGAAGCACATAACTCCCATGGAAGCAGAGAACTTCCAGGCCCGGCCTGGCTCATCACTCTTCTGTTGCATAGGCTGGGCACAGACGGACCTTCGCTGTCACCCATGGTCCAAGGACAGAGGGTGGAGGTTTCAGCACAAGGAGCAAAGGCTTCCCTCCCTGAGAAGGAAGTGTGAGCACTCCGTGAGCTGAGCCGGTCAGTGGGTTTCAAGTCAGAGCTGCAAGACACCGCACCTAACCAGGGCAAACAGCAGGGCGCGGAAAGCCCCGGGCACTTCCTGAGAAAGTGGGTTAAAAGATGATGTCAGAGGGGAGGACATGGAACAAGAGGGAGCCTGGCCCCAGACCACTGATCCATCAAGGAACAGTGCCTTCCGTGACTCCCTGGTATGCTTGCCCCTCTGAACCCCAAACTCATTTTACAGATGAGCAAGTGAGGTCACAGGGAGAGGAAAGCTGCTAAGGTCACCCAGCTAATTGGGGTCAATCGAGTTAAAAAAAACTACCCCCTGAGCCTCGCCTTGGGCATGTGATTTTATTATCCCACGGGACACAGGTAAAAGTGGGAATGGGGGTGGGCTTGCTGGTGTTTGGAGGAAATGATTAACTTCTGACCTGCAGACCTTGGTCACCTGCTTGCCTGACTATTAGCAACCTAGTCACCTGAACCAGGGAGAGCTCAGGAAACAGCCAGAGCCTTCTGCTCCTGTCCAGATGAGCTGCCTTGGCTCTGCACCTAGGCATCTTGGACAGTCCAAAGTGGAAAGTTTCAGAAAGTACCTGTTCTCTGCTCAGAGAGGACACTGAGGCCCAGAGAGAGAAGGAAACCAGCCTGAGATCACACAGCTGACCCAAAACAATGCACAGATACCGCCAGATGCCCGAGCACACAGCATGCTCCTGAGGAGAGTAGGAAGGATCCGTCTATCAGGCAGCACTTGCTGAGAGCTGGCCCTGCCCACCCTGGCACCTCATCCCAGGTCAGGGCAGCACCTACAGCTCACTCTGTGTCTTGGCACTCAGCACTCAGAATGTAGCACTCAGCAGACAGAATGTATACTGAGTACTACATTCTGTACTACTATACAGAGTGTAGTACTCAGTATACAGCATGCAGCAAGCAGTACTCAGCACTCAGCACTCGGCATGCAGCATGTAGCACTCAGCACAGGGCCTGGCACCTGTAAGAGCTTTGCAAGGTTTGAGGAAGAGGATCTGAGACTGCAGAGATCAGCGCATCCCAGGGCCCTCCACTAGAAGATCCTTCAGAATGCCAGGTCGGGTAGGGCTGTCAAAGCTTCGTCCTTCAAGGAGCGTCCCAAAACAGAAAAAATAAATGAATAAAAAACCAGGAAGCCCTCATCCTGAGTTCCCCATGAGGGCAGCTGCTTGGGTCTGGACTCACACGGTGTAGGTGCTTGACCTGTGAGAGTTCCTTGAGGTCACTGGGAGGTGTGTGGCCCTGGGAGCAGAGTCTGAGCTTTGCAGTGAGACGGGTGTGAGCTCCAAAGCTGGTCCTGCCAGCTGCACCCAAGCCAGAGGGCACTGTGTACCCTGTTCAGTGGCAGGAAGAACCATTGCCAGCTGTTATAGGAACCAAGACAAGTGACAATGATAATGACGAGGGTAGCATCATGAGTCTGATCATGTGCCAGGCACTGTCCCAAACCCGGTACATGCCGACCTCTTCTGGTCCTCCTAGTAACCCTGTGTGGGAGGGGCTGGCTGGCTCCCTCACAGCTGAGGCAGCAGAGGCACCTTAAGGGACAGTAGCTGGCAATGTGGGCCCAGATGGTGACTCGTGGAGCACAGCCCCTGCCAGACCTGTGCACTGTGGTCTGAGTACTTTTCCAACTCTGCTGAGAGGCTGGTGATCAATACATATATCAATAGATCTTCATTATGTCCTCCCCATAATGGAGCCTAGGCCCCCACAAGGCCAGGGCAGGGAGCTAGGGGACGTCCACTGGGGTGTCCAGAGATGGCTGGGACTCCATGCACTCAACCTTGCAGTATGTGATGTGACCTTCTGGGGACTGTCCTCCAGGCCACAGCTATGCAGGTGAGGGCCCTATGGTCACAGGTGTCTGAGAGCAGCATCAGTTCTATGGAGCAGTCATGGGCCCCAGAGCATGACCGAATCAGGCAGTGCAAAGAAAAGCAGCCATGGAGGGACTTGTTTCTGAGGTCCCCACTCTGCCTGGGACAGCGGGGACACACCAGCATGGGGACTCTGGCTTCTCAGGCCTGCCAGTGGCCAGAGGCTGGAGTGGGGCGAGCTGACTCTCTTTGAAGGCCTCTCTCCCTAACCCTGGGCAGAAAGGACACTTTGAAAGGAAGTCACACCTGGACATCCTAGAGGAGAGCCTGGCATTCTTGAGTAGATAGACAGGTGCCTTGGGACTTTCTCTCCCGCCAGTTCCCCTACTGTGGAAGCATCTGGAAAGGGGCAGAAACGTGGGACCCTGTGTGTCCAGCTGTGACAACAGACTCACCCTGGCCTTCCCAACTGACATTTCTTTTGAATCCAGTGGCAAATGGTTTTTCCACAAGTTTCCCAGGGAGTCCACTGTGGGCCAGCCTGCACCACGTTTCACGGACTGACCTTTCACCATCTGCACCACTGTGGACAGATGGATGTTCCTTACGTCAACTTTTTTGTGTATGTCTCTTTTTATTGTAATTATGAGCACATATTAATTGTACAAGTGGATGGGCTTTGCTGTGGTTTTCCCTCCATGGACATCCATGCACTGATCACGCACACCCCCTCCACTGTTCTCTCCCAACCCCTTCCAAGTCCTCCCCCTTCTGCCTGCTCCTCCTTCTATTTCCACATATGATAAAAAACATAAGATGCTTGTCTTTCTGCGTCTGGCATATTTCTCTTAGCATGATGTCTTCCGGTTTCATCCATTTCCCTGCAAACGACAGGATTCCGTGCTTCTTTATGGCTAAGCAATATGCCATATGGATATGTGCCACATTTTCTCATCCCTTGATCCATAAGTTGACAGATTTTTTAAGTGTATATGAATGTATTTTAAAAGTGCATTTGATATCACTATCACAAAAGGGAAACTAGCATTGTTTTAGAACCCTGAAATAGTTATCTATTACACTGTGGGAAACCACTTCCTGTGTAGCTCAAATCACCTTGCTCACCTGGGGAACCCAGGTCCAGCTCAACTCTGCCCTGCTCGTCTCTGTGCCACCACCTCGCCAAGTCCTCTGCTCACTACTCCTCCTCAGAAGTGACTTTGACACCAGCCAAGTTCAACCATGGGGGGCACGCCATTGGTCACCACATGGGGAGCCAGGGGACAGCCTTTGGGCGGTGGGAGGCAGCCCTGGGTTTCTTCCTGCTGTGGTTCCGTGCCAGCCTGAGTCGGCATGGGCATACAGTTTGCCTTCTACAAAAATCTCTCTCAAGCTCTCCATTTCACCCCACAGTTCCACTCCAGATGGATTCTCTAGAGTGACTGAAATGGTACTTTGGAATTCTCTCCACCATCTAGATTACTCCTGTGTCTTCTTACCAAGCTTTCATTCCTCACTCCACATAAAATTCCCTGAGCAACTGTGTGTCCTCCCCCCAAATTCATATGGTGAAACTTAGTAGCCAATGTGACATCATTAAGAAGTGGGGACTTCAGGAGAGAATTAAGTCACGGGAGCCGAGCCTCATGAATGGAACTCTGTTATTCCGTGGAATTATTAATGAATGAAATTATAGTTGTTATTATAATATAAAAGAGGTGCAAGGGAGCTCTCTGCCCCTCCCACATGTGAGACACAGTGAGCAGTGCCATCTTGGAGGCAGAGAACAGCTCTCACCAGGAACCAGATCTGCCAGTGCTTTGCCCTTGGACAGTCCAGCCTCCAGAACTGTGAGAAAACTTGTCTTTTCTTTCTAAATCACCCAGAATCAAGTATTTTGGTATAGTAGCATAAAGGAACTAAGACACAGGCAAAATATTCCAATGAATGGGGCACCCTCAGGGGGTGCCCCCAGTCCTCTTCTTCCTCTCCCTAAGGACAAGTACAACTGGCTGAATGATGAGTGAGGGTGACCCAACCCTAACTGAGCACCTGCCACATTCTGTGCACCCAGCTGGGGCTTTTCTCCCATTGGTCCACACGTTCCCACAAAGCCCTAGT